ATTTGAACTCTACATTTTTGATAGAGTTCTTTGGGATTGCATATTTTATATACGAGTATTCAGTGGTTTCATTTTCGCCATGGATCTATTAGATTTATCTGACGAACCTGCTCCCGTGGTGGCCACTACTTTCTGATCTCCTCCCTATTTGGGCATCTATCCCTAGGGTGTGATTTGCGGTCCTCAAATCACAATGCATGACTAGGAGCATTGAGTCTTCAAAGGCTAAGTTTCACCATGTCTTTTCTCCGTTGCTTGAGCATCTAGTAGCCGAGGTTGTAGTTTTAGAGTCTCCTGAAGATGGGCCTTTCGAAGCCATACGGGACGCCATACTAGAACAGACGAAAAGCTCTAAAAAACAGAAAATCCGACGCATACTCCAGGACATACCCTTGGGCGACCGTAAGCCTTCACAACTTTGGAGGCCCATGTGTAATGAAATGGGTAGCATCCCACACAACGAGGCATTCGTTAGGTAACTGTGGTTACAAAAGCAACCACAAGACGTCCACTTCCTTCTTGCGCTAGCGCAAGACATGCCTATTGAGCGTTAGACGATTATGAAAGATCAGGCCATACAATAACGGCAACCCACGGTCGCTGCGGTTACCCTCGCCATCCGTCCAGGTACATCCGTCGACTTCCTCTTTCAGGCTTTCATGGAAAAAATGATCGGCTTCAGCACGAATAAAAAATCTAGAGTTGCATGCTGTAGTGAAAAACTGCAATCGAGCAGTCGTCGTAGATCGAAGTCACCAAACAACATTCAAAAGTATTGTTTGTACCACGCACGTTTTGGTAAAGCAGCTGTTAAATGCATCCACCCGTGCTCGTGGAAAAGTCAACCTATTTTGGGAAAAAAAACAAGCCGACGACTGATTATGGCATCATCCGTTGGTATACGAACAAGGAGCAGCGTTTTTCACTTTAGGGACTCCAATAGTGGTGTGTACCTCCTAGTGAACACCGGTGCGGAAGTGAGCGTTAATTCTTCTCCTCTACTGAAGCTAGGCTCCCAGCCCAAGCATTCACCTTGATTGCGGCTACCGGTTCCACAATACGTACATTTGGTACCAGGAAGAGCACTGTAGATTTTAACTTATCTCAAGCAGTTCAATGACCATTTTTGTTTGCTGAAGTTTCCTATCCTATTCTTGGAATGGATTTCCTAGCAAATCACGGTCTCACTGTTGATAAGACAAACGCCTCTTCAAGGACAGCACTAAATCTGTCAAAGGTTTAGCTACTGACACTGTGGCGATAAGCCCCGTCCTAAACAATGGTGTACATTGTGGGTTGCAACGTTCGTTAGAAGGTTGTTCTTACACAGTTTCTACCATTTTGACCCCCGGTCACCACACCTGGTACCCATACATCGTCACACGCGGCCTACCTGTACATTGAGGCGCACGTCGTTTAGCTCTAGGTAAGTTGGCTTTAGCCAATAGAGAGTTCGACGTTATGCACAGGGTGGGTATAATACGCCCTTCGCAAAGCCAGTGAACCTCCTCACTCCATATGATATATATGCGGTGCCTAAGGCCGCTGTAGATTGGCGCCATATCGAGGATTACCGTGGACTTAATAGTTCCACCATCCCAGATCGCTATCCGATCCCACACATCCACGATTTAACAGCTAGTCTTAAGGGTAAGTCCATTTTTAGTAAGATTGATTTGGTTCGGGCTTATATTCAAATAACTGTTGACCCGGTGGATGTGTCTAAGACCGCTATCATCACTCCGTTTGGCCTTTTCGAATTCTTTCGCACGCCGTTTGGACTAGGCAATGCTGCACAGACGTTTCAGCGTTTCATCATAGAGGTCCTTCGCGGGTTGTATTTCGTTTTTTCGTATTTATATGACATACTTGTAGCAAGTAAGGACACCGCCGAACACGAAGTGAACTTACGCGCACTGTGTCAGCAACATGTTGATACCGTTAATGCCGCTAAGCGCGAATTAGGTGAATCTTTAGTTTTTCTATGTCACCATATTGATCGTCAAGGATTCCGTCGAGTCGGGGACAAAATAGCAGCAATTCGCAATTTTCCTTCACCTAAGACAGCTACCAAACTTCATCGTTTCTTAGGAATGATCAATTACTGTTACGTGCATCCCATAATGCGCCTAGTTAGTCCGTCCACTTACGGATCTGTTCAGGGGAACCCAAGCTTATCGAATTAAACACATCAGCACAACGGGCTTTCGATGCCATTGAATTGGCANCAGTCTCCATTACTATTATATTGGCAGTTTGGCAGTAGACGCATCAGACATCGTCGCCGGTGCAGTCCTCCAACAGTGAATCGATGGGGCCTGGCAACCTTTAGGTTTCTACTCAACGTTTTTAGACGCAGCCACTGAGTACAGCACCTTCGGTCGCGAACTATTCGTTGCATACACGGCTGTTCGTCATTTTCGTCATTAACTAGAAGGTGGTGATTTCATCGTCTTTAATGACCATAAACCACTGACTTACTCTCTTAAGTCCTCTAGGGACAATTACTCTCCTCGAGAGAAACGGCACTTAGACTACGTGTCACAATTTACTACCGACAATCGACACGTTGCTGGTGTGAATATTGTCGTCCTCGATGCTCTCTCAAGCCTAGCGGTAGGTTCCTGTAACGTGATCCATTTGACACGTATGGCACAACTGCAAGATTCCGACCCAGACTTGAAAAACGCAGACCCTACAGGCTCCTTCCGCGTAATCAGAAGTAATGAGAAACAGGTAGTCATCGATAAAATCGGTCACCACAATACTATCTACATCGATCACGCGAAGCCAGCTTACGTCGATGCAACATTCCTCACAGCAACCTCTGCCAACCAAAAGGCTACGAATACCACTACACCGAAAGCCTCCACCCCATTGCCAATCACGCCAAGTTCGATCATTCCTCTCACCGCGACAGCATTAACCTACACTTCAGGAACGCCTCCACTGCTTTCTGTGTTAGCTGGTTCAATCCCCAGAATCAATCGAGTGGATAGTTTGTCCGTATTTCAACTCATTTTGTGGAAAGCTTTTATTAGTGACGCTATTTTTACGAGAAAAAATGTTAGCTTATTTTTAGCATGAAAATAACATTGACATGTCCTGAGCCACTAATATTACAACTCTTCTGAAGGGGAAAAATTTTCACCTCGAAGAACGACCATGCAGTCTGCAATAACCTGGCCTGATAAAAAGATCCCAGTCAAAGAAAAATCGGGATTGGAAATTGTGGGAGCCACCTATGATGAACACGAAACTGTACACTTATTCTGCACGTCAGAACAAGATGTGCATTAGCGTGTTTCTCAAAGCTTTCTTTCAAGTCCTTTTTTTCCTGGGCGTGAAACATGCAGGATTTGATAATATTGAGATAATTTTAGTGGTAGTAAAGTAGTAGTTGTCTCTATAGCAGTTATAAAGCTTTCTTGAGAAATATTGCAAAAGACTATTTTCTGCGTTTCCGCTCAGTTTAAACGTTTTACGTACCATTAGGCCAACCAAACGTTTCCAGTTGATATTATATCAGCCAAAGGTCATTTCTCTGCTGCCACATTGCTGGCAAACTATTTTACTGGCATCGAAGAGGAGGAGGTTCCACAAAACTATTGCTTTAGATTAAGTTATATCGCAAACCACCTGAAATCCGTTCTTCTTTTATGTTATTTTATTTTACAATATTACATCTGCGGACTTACAGCCCATCCTTACAGGATGTACTGAAGAACGCCAATACATCTAGGGTTTGGTACGTGATCTGAAATCATTGTTAATAGAACAGCCATGTTTCAGCATCTTGACACGTGTGGAGACAGTAGTT